AAGCACTACACGACTCTGTTCGAGACCTAGGTTCAGGACGTATTCAGTGTATCTCCTAGCTGCACTTCCTTCTTGGGGCAGTGTACTGATGGTGCCATCGGGGTTCCCACCACAGGTAAACTAGCTGAAAATCCTTAGCAACACTGGGATGTGGAAGAACATGCATTAAAAAAAAAAAAATCTGAAAGGTGTTCCTGGTAAAATCAAACAGCTAGTAATGGATGCAGCCAGGATTTGAACCCAGACTTTTATACTCTTTCTAGCCCATGCTTTGATTTCTTAAAGCCTTCCTTGGACAGTTTTTGATGATTTGACTATTTCTGACTCTACTAACGTCGTTAACCCCTCACCTCATCCAACCCACTGTAAAGAGAAATCACGTGGAGTGTGGGTTCTCTTTTCTTCTTGGTTGGATATCTGTGAACTGGAAATGCTACGTTACCCTTTTAGCTCTGCTGTTTAGTCTTCGCCAATATTTAGAATAACCAAAATAAAGAAATACTGATTCTCTTCCATGAAAAATTCATTTTCTTGTTTTCTTCATTGATGATCTAGACTTTGTTTTCTGAGCAACAATTGCCAGAGCTGAATATAAGAATGATATGGAGACCATAGTATGGGAGACCCTGAATGCATTTGCAGTATAAATCTAGCCACATATGTTCATTCTGGGGGAGAAAGCATTTATGAGTATTCTGCAGAAACATTTATATGCCTATAAATAAGATTACTTGGTTACTTTATTTAACGTGAACAGTTGATATTTTTGTAGTTAATTATGGAGGATCTGCAAAGAGTTAAAGATAGCAACAGCCATATTACCTGCCTATTGGATTAATGCATGTCTAAAGTTGCATTTTGCATATGGCTGTGGCCTTTTCTAGGATGTTACTTCTTTTTTAAGTCCCTGCCTGTTGTCAGCTTTTAAGAATCAAAGCCAATTAAACATTACTGGCATGCTCCGTAGCTTTCTTCTTCAAAGTTTGGACCTGCCCTCCTGCCTCTCTGGAAAATCCATTCTTGAGAGTTGCCTTGGACATAACCACTAACAGACTGTTGAGCATCTGCAGAGGCCTTTTGTTTCCAGGATTTCACAATCATTGCCGTTTAATCCATAGAATATCCATGTGAGGTAGATAGATATATTCAAGCATCCAAATTTCCTGCAGGGGAATTTCAGTGCCTGTAGGAGTATTGTGATTGGCATCAACTGTCCCTGATTTCCCAGAGGCCAGACACCTGGAGAGGCTTTGCTGCAGGCCCAGGTACACACCAACATTTCAGGACAGGATCTCTCTCTCTCTCTCTCTCTCTCTCTCTCTCTCTCTCTCTCTCTCTCTCTCTCTCTCTGTCTCTGTCTCGTGTGTGTGTGTGTGTATGTGTGTGCGTGTGTTTTATAAAGATCCAGTGACTTTCTTCACTTTTAACCTGAAATAGACCCAGTATCTATAGCATGTCATCCCATAACAAGGCTGGGGAGTAGATACTATCTTTCCATTTTACAAATGAGAAAGCTAAGCCTAGTAGGTTGCCCACAGTAGAAGAGTTGGAATGTGTCTAGTTCTTTCTGATGCCAAAGTCGGTTCTTCAACTATTGTCAAATGCTGCCTTCAAAATGGGAGTGTAAGAATGACTAAGATTAAAAACACAATTGCCAGCTCCTGTTGGCGAGGATGTGGAACAAGAGGAACACTCTTTTACTGCTGGTGGGAATGCAAACTGGTACAGTTTGGTACAGCCACTTTGGAAATCAATATGGAGGTATCTCAGAAAATTGAGAATTAATCTACCTCAAGACCCAGCTATACCACTCCTGGGCATATACCCAAAGGATGTTCCATCTTATCATAAGGATACTTGTTCAGTGTTCATAGAAGCTTTGTGTGTAATAGTTAGAACCTGGAAACAACCTAGATATCCCTCACCCAAAGAATGAATAAAGAAAATATGGTACATTTACACAATGGAGAATTATTACTCAGCTGTTAAAAGCAATGGCATGAAATTTGCAGGCAAATGGATGGAATGTGAAAAAAAAATTATTCTGAGTAAGGTAACCCAGACCCTAAAAGCAAACATGACATGTATTCACTTATGAGTGGACATTAACTGTAAAGTATAAGATAATCATGCTATAGTCCATAGACCCACAGAATCTAAATAACAAGGAGGGTTCAAAGGAGAATAAAAGGATATCCTTGGGAAGGGGAAATAGAATAGGTGTCACCAGTGGACTTTGAGTGAGTGGGGTTGGGAACAAGAGGGATCAGTGGTGGGGGATACTGGGAGAAACAACTGGAATTGGGGCCATTATGGGTGGCAAAGTGGAGACCCAGTGCCATGGAAACTCCATGGAATCTACAAAAGTAACTCTAGCAAGACTCCTAGTGATGGGGCACACAGAACCTCAACAAGCCATCTTCTCTAACCAGACAAGGCCTCAAGTGGAGGGATTAGGATACTAACCCAGCCACAAAACCTTTGACCTACAACTTGTCCTGTCTGCAGAGTGTTCTGGGACCAAAACCTAGCAGAACTGTTGTCAGAGACCAGAGAGACTTCATCCACATTGATGGGAATATATGCAGAGTCCCATGGCCAAACATTAAGTGGAGCTTAGGGAGTTCTCCCAAGAAGGGGGAGGTAGGATTGAAGGAAGCAGAGAGGTCAGGGATGTCATGAAAACATGGCCCACAGAATCAGTTGATCAGGTCTCAGGGACTTGCAGAGATCAGGGAGCCTGTAGGGGTCTGATCTATGTCCTCTGCATGTATGTTATGGTTTAGTACTTGGTGTTCTTGTGGGACTCCTAATAGAGGGAACAGGGGGCTGTCTCTGACCCCTCTGCCTGCTTCTGGGACTTTTTCTTCCCACTTGGTTCCTGGTCCAGCCTTGATGTGGTGGTACTTGCTGCATCTTATTGTAGCTTGCTATGCTGTGTTTGGTGGATGTCCCTGGGTGTTCTGCCTGTTTCTGAGGGGAGACAGAAGCAGGGATGGATTTAGGGGAGAAGAGAGGTGCTTGGAAAAGACTGGGGAGTAGGGAGGGAGGGAAAACTGTATTCAGGATATAATATATGAGATAACAATAGCAACAACAACAGCAATAATGATTGGAATGTAATTTCTAGCTTATCAAAATGCTGGGAGAACGTGGAGAGAAGGCATACAAAAGATAGGCTGGGCTAAAAAGATACATCCTTTTTATAAGGCAAAGCAATACCATGTGGTCATTCTTACCTACAATGTGCCTATTAGAGCTTTTTACTCTCCTCATCACCAATCATAACATCCCAAGTGAAAAGTATTTGTATGTTTTTCTTCCTTACTGGTAATTTTGTGAAAAGTAACTATTTTATAGTAATTATTCATGATAAAACCGTATCCTGAAACTACTGAAAAATTAGCCTTAAAAGATTTATTTTGTTCTTTTATTAATTTTATTAAAATTACTATTATTATTTGGTGAAGGATTCTCTTTTGTATGCTGTGAATAACATTGATGAATAAAGAAACTGCCTTGGCCTGTTGATAGGGCAGAACTTAGGTAGGTGGGGAAAACTAAACTGAATGCTGGGAGAAAGGAGGCAGAGTGAGAGAGAAGCCATGTAGCCCCACCGGCGATAGATGCCAGAACTTTTCCCAGTAAGCCACAGCCTTGTGGCAATACACAGATTAATGGAGATGGGTTAAATTTATTTGTAAGAGTTAGCCAATAAGGGGCTGGAGAGATGGCTCAGCGGTTAAGAGCATTGCCTGCTCTTCCAAAGGTCCTGAGTTCAATTCCCAGCAACCACATGGTGGCTCATAACCATCTATAATGAGGTCTGGTGCCCTCTTCTGGCCTGCAGGCATACATGTAGACAGAATATTGTATACAGAATAAATAAATATTTAAAAAAAATTTAAAAGAGTTAGCCAATAAGAAGCTAGAGCTAATGGGCCAAGCAGTGATTTAAATAATATGGTTTCTGTATGATTATTTCGGCGCTGAGCAGCCAGGAACCAACAAGCAGTCTCCTTACAACAATTATTCAATTAAAAAAAAAGAAGAAAACAGGTATATGGCAAAGGTACTCAGTTGAAACAAGAGAATCTATTTCGGGCTTCCAGGTCTCCAATTCTCTCTCTCTAATCCAGTTTCTTGTGGCTTTCAGAAATATCCAGTGTCTGTGTATGTATTTATGTACATTGTTTGTTCTGGTTTTTTTTTGTTTTTTGAGACAGGGTTTCTCTGTAGCTTTGGAGCCTGTCCTGGAACTAACTCTTGTAGACCAGGCAGGCCTCAAACTCACAGAGATCTGCCTGCTGAGTGCTGGGATTAAAGGTGTGCACCAACACCACTCAAATGTGTATGTACATTCTTATGTGTTCCAACTAAATTGGTTGCCTTCTCTGAGTAGTTGACCCTAAGTATGTTGTTAATTTAGAACCATATTCTCTGAACATTATCAGTGTTTTATGATATTCTTTGTAAAATTATTGTGTATAAATGATTATTTATAATTTTACTTTTAAAGAAAAATATAGGTGTATATTATTGTGTTCTTAAGTGAAATACAAGAAAATTTAAATGTAAGACAGTTTCTATTTAATTGTTTTATCACTAGTTCCTGGATTATATATGAGAAAAAGGTGTAATATATTAAGAACTAAATCCTTAGGCCCCTGTAGATTCCATATTTTCTTTGAAATTTCTCATTTTTTTTCTGTCTATCTTCTAATTGGTAAAAAGCAGTGTGATTGTTACATGCTAAGGAATAGGGCAGTATTTTGAATGGAAGGGGATAGTATTATATTTGGCTGTAATAGTCAATGATGCTTCAGAAGAGTGAAAGAGAATGTAAGCCTATTTTACCTTGGAAATGATATGTTTCTGGTATCTGTATGAGCTATGGAGAGCGAGCCTCAGTTTTCCGCAAACACAGGATCTGACTATCTTAAGTGTCTCAATGTAAAAGTCGAGTTGCTAATTCTTCTCTTTCTGTTTTCTAATTTTAGGTTTTAGTATAAAGGCAGTGCCATTCCAGAATGCCATCTTGAATGTAAAAGAACTCGGAGGTATAACTTTACAATCTTTTCTACATCTGCCCTTGACGTTACAAGCTTGCTCTTCATGTGTTACATGCAATTACGCTGTGATGATTTATTTTAGGTGATGGGTTTTCACTTTTTTCTTAATAGTAATTTCATAATCGTACTTCCGTCCCTTTACACATGAATTAGCGGTTACCCTGGAGTGGTAGGTTAGACTTCGCTTTCTCCTGCGTGACGCAGAGGACTACGCAGTAATGGCAAATGCCACACCACATCCTTGCTTTTACTTGTTAATTATTCTAAAAGGGAACTTATGGAAAGAATCTAAAAACGTAAATGAAAATGGGCTAGATAGGACAAGCTGTATTTACGTGTGAATGCCTACTGCAGGTTCGATTGTAATCAAGTCTTTTTAGAATCTATTTGTTCCGATAATAAATCTTTGCCAATGGGTTCTTTGCTGGCCAGGCACATTTATTGGATAGGCTGTACCCCAAAGCATACATCAGTCAGTCTTTCATTGCACTCTCTGTCTGGCATTTTTTTCGGGTTGTGTTTTATGTCAGTCAGGGTCTTAACCCATGCAAATAGATTAACAAAGAAGTCAGTCAATCCGGTGAACCTACTAAATTCTCTTAACGGCTCAAGCAAATGCCAAGTGCCAGAGTTCAGTATAATATCGGTGAGTTTAGTGACTTAGAAAGTTCTCTTCTGTCTTCTTAATCACTGTGTGATGGTGACCTTACCCTGCTCTTTGTTGTTGGTTTTTTCTCTCCTCTGTCAAGGTCATTTCCAATTGTGGCTATTTCTAGTGCTGTGAAATGGAAACACTCAGCTTTATGCCGTCTTACCAACGTTTGATGCCTTCTTGTTGTTCAGTAAAGCGTTGACCAGCCTTTCCAGGTGGCTGTCAGTGTGACAGCTAACAGTGACCTTTACAGCATCTGTATTGAAAAGCATTGGTGATAGAGCAATTCCAGGTTTTTCCTGAGATGCTCGGTGTTTCCACTGGACAATAAAATCCTGGGAACGTGACTGCTGATCTTAGCTAGAAAGCTGCCGGACAGTAAAATACAAACACCTTCGAAGTAACTTCTGTGGAAAACCTTCTAAAACTGCTTCCTAATAGACTATTTTCATCATGCTTTGGTTTCTGCTAGCTACTCTCCCAGTGACGATATTATTTGTAGACATTTTGCAGTCAGAGATCCTAATATAAATATCAGCAGGATCTAACGGTATGGCTTGAAAATTCTCTTGGTTTTAATTATTAGGCTAGATTTTAAAACGTTCACTCAATATTCATCAGGTATAAGAAACTGTTGTGACTTGGCAAGATATTTATTGTGTAAGATGGTTATTTGGGTGAAATAAATAGTGAATGTTTCTGAACAGTTAAGAAAAAACGAATGCTTGAAGCTAATGTTGACTGTATACCACTGAAATTGCGTGCAATGGAAATGAAATTGGAGAACTGGGGTTGCATAGGAGAAGAATACGTTGTTTCTCAAGGAAGTTTGTTTTCACAGGTAGCATAGCTGTGCCCTGACAGTTGACGAGATGGAAATTACAATAAAGAGGACCCATAGGCTTTGGTGGCACATTTTAATTACTAACATACTGTTAGGAGGTTGAAGAACATCGGTATAAAACAGAGCCTTGGGCATTGGAGCAGTAGGCTGGCTCGAGACTAAAGCTACTCAGATTCATGCGTGTGTTGTGTGTTAGTGTGGAAAAGCACATTTCTGGCCCAACCATAGATTATTTTTTTTTTCCTCCTTCAACTTGAAATCAAGTAGACTTCACAGTGTGACTTGTGTACTCAATTCCACAGTTTCAGAGGCAGCAGAGGGAGTCGATTTTTATTACTTATTTATTGAAAACTTGGAGAGTAGCATACTCTGTTGTGTCTGGAAGGAGCATGTGAACAGCTGGGCTAGCACACCTGAAGAAAACACAGCTTTCCTGGGTTCTAAAGTATATTCTAGGTACCAAGGGAATCATCTCAATGTAAGGTGCTGGGCATTTAGGGAGAATTCTAATTTAGTGAAATCAGGTTGCCTGGAAGCTGCTTAACCAAGTGTTCTAATCTCAGGGGGAAAGAGTTGAGTGGTTCAGGACCTTTCTGGGATGGCAGGTCACCTGCGTTCATCAGTGCTTGGCTACTCAAAGATAGCGGTGCAGCCTGGCAGTATGACGGGCCAGTTTTATTTTTTATTTTATTTTTATTGTTCACAATAGCCTGTCCTTTGCAGCTTACCTGTCCACTCCTGCCCCAGACAGCACTGATTGTACCTATGGTTTTATTAGCATATATTAATTGTATACCGCAATAGATTTCATTATCACATTTGTATACATAAGTAAAAAATATTTCAGTCATATTTTCCATATTTCCCTCCTGCCCCCTCCCTGTGTCTGTTGATTCTCTTCTTATTTATGTATGTATGTATGTATGTATTTATTTATTTATTTATCTTTTAATGCCCCAGTGAGTTTAGGTTGCTTACATGAGATTGGGTCAGGGGATATTTAGGAGATCTTTGGCATCTTATCAGTGGCAACATCACTGAAGAAAATGCCTCCTGGCTTCCACAGCAACTCTGAACTGCCAAGAGCTCATTTTATCTGTGCCACTGAGTATCTACACGTGTTGATACATTTCCTTCGTGTCATGTTCATGGGACACAATCTCGACCACACCAACACCTTGCCCTCACCCCCAAGACTTTAATGAAATAGTCTCCATTTTTCTTTGCTTCCTGCCACGCTCATGCTTTGAAGTCTTTCAGAGCAAACCCTTGTTGACTCTTGATGTTATCGCCGGGTTTCTTCCTGACTTAACTGCTTTGGTGCTGACTTCTGCTTAACTCCGATGTCCAACCTTTCTAGAACCTTCCCACAAAGAATTCTTTTTCCTAATTTAGTTATTCAGCAAATATTTCCAGAGTACGTATTATTCTCTAGGCGCCTTTCTAGCGAGCTATGGTGGCTGTAGCTAGCAAGGCAGCACTGTGTCATTCAGATGGAAGACAGAAGGGGCCCCTTATGTCCTGCTTACTTCCTTAAAAGCAAGTATGAATTCCTACAGGACTAGAGAGAATGGCTGGACTCGTGCTGTCCTGACCCTGCCTAGCCAAGGCGAGTGTTTACTCTGACCGCATGGAGTTGGTTTTATCAGTGTGTTCTTCCACTCATGAGGGTTCCACTGAAATCAGTGTAGAACTCCTCTCTCTCTCAGTTTGACTTCTTTAACCTGCTTCTGTCCCGGAGATGCAGCTCACAGCCCAGTCTGACTTTGACCTTACAGTCCTCCTGCCTTAGCCTTCTGAATGCTGCTCCCTCTTGCTTTCTCCTTTCCAGGGTACCTAGCAGGGAATCCGGATGGACAGGCAGGTTCTTCTTTCAGTGACTTTTCTTCTCTAGTGACTGGTGTTGGACTCAATAACTGTGTTGGATTCTGGGCCCATCCATGCTCCTGAGTATTTTCTTGAATGTGAACCATGGTAACAGTAGTTTCTAAATCAAGTCAGCTTGTGAAGGCTACGGTAGATGATGCTGGCCTTGTCTGCAGCTAACATTATGCAAGATTTTTGTTCATTAAAATTACCCTCTCATTGCTCCCCACCCCCACTCCACCCTTGGGCTCCTCCCAACAAATTAAAACAAACAAAAATTCAACTTTCAACGAAACCTTTTTCTTCATGGTCTCTTAAATGAACAAATTTCATATTAACTTCTTTCTGCCTTTCTTATCCTGCTCCACCCCCTTAATCTTGTCCTCCCTCCTCTCCATCCTGCTTCTCTCCCATTCTCTCTTTCCCTTCCTTCCTTCCTTCCTTCCTTCCTTCCCTTCCTCCCTCCCTCCCTCCCTCTCCCTCTCCCTCTCCCTCTCCCTCTCCCTCTCCCTCTCCCTCTCCCTCTCCCTCTCCCTCTCTCTCTCTCTCTCTCTCTCTCTCTCTCTCTCTCTCCTCTCTCTGCCTGTCTGTCTCTGACAATATACTTGCACAAACCAAAAGGCCACCAGGAAAGGAGCATGTTCTCTCCTTTCGTTCAGTCACTGCCATAGGCTGAGAAATTCACATGTTCAGTGCTTTTTGCCTCTTTCCATCTCACCACCTATACTTCTGAAAACTCTCTTGACTGTCTTTGTCTCCTTACTGTTCTCTGTTTGGCTCATGCGGTGCTTAGCCGGGATGAAAGCATTATCTATACCTCAGTGACTTCGCGGCTCTGATGGTTTTTCATTTCAGAAATGTGCAATTCCAAAATGACAGAGTCTTGTGCACTCATGGATGGTCTTTTTCCAATATGAAAATTTCATATACGAATTGATTGAATACAGAGGTAAAAATTTGATTTCTTAGCAAACTTGTTTTCTTATTTATTGGTAAAGATTAAGATATGATAATATACCCTAACTGAATTCTGGAGCCATGAATGATTTTGCCAAAAAGCTTTCCCCCCATCGAATATTCTAATGAGTTATGTCTGAATTGTGTTTCCACCTCTCACGGCCACCATCCCCACCTAGTACCCTCTATGGCAGTCTTGTGTTCACAGGTGACATTCAGAAAGGCAAAGGAAATCTGACAGGCAGTTTGTTGTCTCTGACACTGCAGTATTGGTGGCTGCTAGTTGCCAATCAAATGGAAAAAAATCCGTGAAGCTTTTCTCTGTGTGCTACACCCCTCCTCCACACACACACATACACTTAAAGAAAAGCAGGCAGCAGGGAGCTGTGGGAAGTGCAAGTTGTATATGGTCGCCCTCTGCTTGGTCCCTGCAGTTGTGACCGAAGGATTTTTGAGGATTGTCAGCTCAACCATTTCTTTAAGCCTGCATCTCTGAGCAGCCAGCTGTTATAGGAAACAGATGTCGGCTGTGTCCGGCTTCCTTGTTTGCCCTGGGAACTGCCTCCTCACAGGCAAAGGTGCTGTTAGTTGTCCTTCTGGCTATCTCAGGGTGCTGTGTATTCGTCCAGCTTATTTGCATCTGTTAGTTTCTCCAGAAACTGTCCAGGG